ACAGAAAAGAGGAGATGATGGGGAATGTACTTCTTTGTATGTTTATCTTATTGATTATTGAATAAAATACTGTTTGGCCAATGGCAGCAAGTTAGGCAGGACTAGGAGTCAAAGAGGATTCTGGGAAATGTAGTAGAGAAGTGATGTTCCAGGCAGGAAGTGACATAGCAAGGAGAATCATATTTAAGCAAAGAAAACAGGAAGGGTTCCCCTTTTCCCCTCCGCTCTTCCTCCAGCAGAGCAATATGATCCACCGGCAAGGAGGGACACCAATAAGGCGTCCGATAAGATAAGCGTTATAAAATATATAGATTTATGATAATGAGACTGAGCTAACAGATGGGAATCCTAATCATTGGCCAAGCAGCATTTGAACCTAATACAAGTTCTGAGTAATCATTTGGGCCCTAACTCAGGAGGGCGGCTGGTGTAAAGCGCACACGTGGCAGTGGGGCTTGGTGGCTTTTGGCAGAAAGATTTATTGTAAGTTTAGGATTATATATGGTTCACATTATGTACATAAAATTCATGATTAATCTTGCTTATTTTTCTAATTGTTCCACCTGCTTTTCTCATTTATTAAAAACACACACACACACACACACATTTGACCTTTCCCTGTTAGTCTGAAAGCAATATACTTACTTTCATGTCGATTGGTTCAATATGTATAATATGTACATGTTTATCGTGGTCTAAATTGACCAGTAGCTGTAGCCACTCTCCTGATAGCTAGTGCAACATAATTCTACCTGCTTTGCTCCTGAGTGTAACCCCTGGGCACATGATTATTCACTATTTCATATAGTCGGCGTCTGCTCAGTTTAGTGTCTGCTCCTCTCATTGCTCTTCCTCCCTGTATCCCAGGGATACCTTAGGAATTTCTGAAAGGGCAGCATGCAGAATTTCAGGTGTTGGTGATGGAGCAGAACTCAGTTTCTCCTTACTCTTGAGACAGTGTTAGTGGTTGTCTTGGGGATCACTTTCCTCTAGGACACTGGCATCCATTGAGGCTGTTGAGGCAGTGTTTCTCTTCCCTTAGAACATCATGTTTTGTTCTGGCTTTCCCCATATTTTTGTTAGCAGGTAATGAAATAATGGGCTTATAAATTTTCATGTGTGTTAATAATTGCTCTACTCAAATCTGTACTCACGCCCCCCACCCTGTGCTCTCTAAAGACCCCCTCTGCTATTCCAGGCTTGCAGTTTCACTCTTCCATCTGGACATGGCTTTATTTTGCTAAGGATTCTTTGAGATTTGACCATTAGATGGTTTTCTTACCCCATTTCAGGTGAATCCCAAGGCCATATCAAAAACAAGCATTTATTGTAGAGTAAGGACTTTCAAGACCTTCACTGTGTATCCCAAGCTGGTCCAATCTGTGTCCTTCTTCCTCGGCCTTCATTAAGACACTTTCACTGATGTATACATGTACTTTGATCCTATCCAACCATTATTATCCCATTCCTTGTCCTAAACAGCCCCTTGTCTGCCTTCACACCTTACAAATAGATTCTTGAAATGATCAAGAACTTTTACTACCCATCCAAGCAAGCCCAACGTATTTTACTTCATATGATGGTCTTCTGATGGGGGAATGTCCTTCTGTATGTATATTTCTTTTATTTGTTGATTTATAAAACACTGATTGGCCAGTAGCCAGGCAGGAAGTATAGGCAGGGTTATGAGACAAGAATTCTGGGGAGGAGGCAGAGAGGAGCCACCAGAGAGACTCCATGTAGCTACTGGGAAGATACAACACCGGGAATTCTCTAGTAAGATAAGACCATGTAGAAATACATGTAACAGTAGTTATGGCTTAATAATTAATAGAGAGCTAGCCAGTAAGAAGCCTAAGCCATTGGCCAAACAGTTTATAATTAATATTAGCCTCTGTGTTTTTTGGGGACTGAAAAGTGACAGGACTAGGCAGACCAGAAACTCTGTCTAGTCTTCATTTGCAATGATTTTCCTGCAAAGGATGTTTGTTGTTCTTCATGGATGAATCAAAAGCTACTATGGATACATACCACATTTGATGTTAAGGGACACCCAAGATAGTTTCATAACTGGGCTATTTTAAACAGCGCAGCAACAAACTTGGGTGTGCACATATCTTTTAATAATGATAGTGACTTGGAGCATATACCAAGAGTGGTTATTTCTATTTTAAAAACGTGTAAAACTTTGATGCTGCCTTCTGTAGTGGCCACACCTGCACTCCAAACAGTGTACAAGAGATCCCCTTCCCTTGCTCTAACCCAGACTGTATCCATGATAACAACCATTTTGACTGGCATGAGATGGAGTCTCATGGTTTCAATTTGTAGTCAACTGATAACTGAGAACACGCAAATATTTTCCCCATGCATTTATTTATGGTGATTTCTACTTCTTTTGAGAAGTCTGTTCAATTCCTATTCTTGGGGGAGTGCTTGTTTATTTTTTGAATATTTTGGATACTCATCTTCTGTTAAGACAGATAGCTAATAACTCTACTCTGTAGGTCCCATGTAATCCTTGCTATGTAATCCTACTTGGCCACTTCTGGTAGTTCACTTCCACTTTCTCTTACACTGAGGTCTTTGATTCATTTGGAGCTTATTTTTATACAGGATGGGAAATATGGCTCCAGTTTTATTCTTCTACACATGCACACCCCATTTCCCAGCACTATTTGTTGAAGAGGTTGTCTTTTCTTCACTGTATTGGAACTTGTCAAGAATCAAGTAGCTGCATGTACTTATTCTGTTGCATTAGTCTGTTTTGTGTTAGTATGTTTGTGTTGTGTATGTATTTACATGTGTGCATGTTGCGTGTGTGTTGTCAGTGCTGTTCTATTTTTTGAAGTTGAATTTCTTAAACTATATCCTCTAGCTTGTTTTCTCTGCTTCTAGAGCACCCCTTAGACCAAATGCTGGGCTTCCCTCCGCCCCATTCTTGTTATTTGCTTACTTTCTGTGCTGAACAATTCCTTTGGACTCATCTTCCAAGTCACTGGTTCCTCTACAACTTTGCATTTGAAAATTCTCATTCTATCAATCCTCCTTTCAAATATTACATCATTTAAAATTCACTCCCTGACATGTTTCAAAGTGACTTTTTTTTAATTTTAAAGGAACATCCTACTCTGTCTCAAGTCTAGTGTCTGAAGTCCTTGAGTTTGTTCATGGTATTTTGGGTGATTACTCTGTGAGCGGTTCATATTTCTTAGAACATTATTCTGACCACTCATTGAGGTTATGTTTCATTTCTAATACCACCTAAGAGATTCTGCTCATGCAGTTCAATCTGTTTTAGCCTGACCTTCTCATAAAATGCCAGAATGTGATTTGGACTGCAAGGGCAACTTAGGAGTTTTTGTTTGTTTTTTCACTTATCTTCTGAGTGTAGGCAGGTTTTCTGAGTGTTGCAGGGACTTGAGGCTCTGCTGGCGTATTTCATCCTCAAGGGTGAACTTGAGGACTTCCCAGGGGCTGGCTCACCTTCATCCCGAAGGGTAGATTTTAGGAGCTGGCTTGTTGAAGCACCTCTGTACATCAAGCCCACCCTGGCCTGCACAAGTGAGTTCACAGTCCCCATTTTGGTGAATATTTCTGGGCAAGAGCAGTTTCCTGTTTGATTTCCTTTCATCTATACTTTTTGACCTGGTGATTTCTTTCTTGCTAGTTCAGTACTCAGAAAATTATCAAGAACTTGGTGTTGCTGGCTCACACTGGTATCACGGTTTTTCTTAGTGTTCCCACTTCATTCAGTCAGACTCCTTTCCTTCTGGAAAAGGAGGTTTAGACAGGATCTCACTAGGTAGCTCCGGCTGGCCCCGAACTCACCACCTTCCAACTGCACCTTTCTAGTGCCGAGATTCCAAAGCACACTGATTTGCTTCTGGATTTCTTGCTTTCTCTTCTTGAACTTGTTTTCCATCCCTAACAGCATCAGTGAGATTAGGAAGCTAGAGTATATAAATTGTGTTTATTCACAAATTAGAATTTTCATGAGAAGAAGGTTCAGGTTTCATCAAATCCTGTGCTTGTCTTCAGACGGTTAAAAACGATTGAGCTACATACAAGGTAATCTTGGGCAAATAATGCCAGTTTTCTTCTCATCTATGTTTATGAAACTACTACTCCAGGAGTTTAAGAAAGGAATACATTACAGTTTCTAACTTTACCTGGAGACCCCTGACTATCTAGACTGGCTGGCCATCTAGTGAGCCAGGCCCAATACACACCCAGCTCACCCAGCCTTTTCTGCATGCTGGGGGTTTGAACTTGGGTCCCCATGCTTGCACAGCAAGCTTTTTGTTTGTTTTTAAACCTACTAAGCCATCTCCCCAGATCAACTTTCCTATAACTGTTCTTTTCCTTTCTCTTTAGCTGATGCTGACAGTTTCCTTCGCTTATATTCTGCCACTTAACCTTTACGAGTTCATTGCCAGTTGGTCTTGGGCCCTTTATAAGCTTGATATGCTTTTTCTGGAAAATGCAACATAGTGGACTATCTCAGCTTTGCAGGCTCTAGCTTGTGTTTCAACTACTCAACCCTACCACCGTGGCAGGAAAGCAATGATGACCATAACTAAACAACTGGCTGGGGCTATGTTCCAATGAAACTATCTACAAACCAGATAGATAGTGGGCTGGATTTGGTCTGTGGTGTGTGTGTATGTACCAACTCCTGCTCCACACTCACTCTCCAAAGCTGTGCCTCCAATGCACACACATGCATGCACACACTTGTGCTCATGAGCACACCTTACCAAGGCCTGGAAGGGCCCTTCTGTATCCAACCCTGTATTCTCCAGACACCTACTCATTTTCTGCATTAAAAGTCCCTTGTCCCATGAACCCAGTATCCTCCCAGCACTCCTAATAAACAGTACTGCCATGCAGAGCTACTGAAGGCAGGAAACAGGAGCGATCCTCAACACACCTTCCTCTCATCTTCTAATTCTGGAAATGGCATTATTTGACACACACAGTCAAATTTAACATTTCACTAACAGAACTAAACTTTATTTCCATGTTTATTACATATTGTCTTTGATGAAGAGTACATATTAGAATTGACTTAACATACAACTTGGGAGAAAGCTTGATAATTCTCCACTGGATGGGTTAAAAAGGAATGTAAAACTACAAAATACTAGTTTAAGTGAGTTCTAAGTTATGGTAAATACAACAACAAATACCTTGCTAGTTTTCTCTAATTTTCCAAGATGGATTTCACTATAAAAGTTTTTTTCATAACAGTTTATTTCAAGAAAAGGGCTACTCATAATAAAAACTTTTTACTTTAAATATAGGGTACAAATAAGTCAACACAAAATCCTACTTACTACTTAAAAGTTCTAGTGTCTTAAATCTGTATATGTTATTTGCTTTTGTCAGGAAGGGTTAGGCCAAGGGTGACACACAGTACAACTCCATTTGACATTTATGTTATCCATTGCGTACTTAGGATGGAGATGGCAAATAGTGCTTAGTGGCAGAAGCTCAAAACTAAACAGTTCCACGGGGACCAGAGCCAAGAGAAATTACCCATTCTACTCCTGGACCCACATGTACAAATGGAGACTTCTCGTTCTCACTAAATGTTCCAAGATAAAACTGGTGTGTGGAGCTGCCTGAATTCACAGAACACAAATACCCTGCTTGGTATGACACCAATGTCTGTAAGCCTTGTAGCGTATTTTGTGAAGCTGTGCCTCTCAGGGAGCACAGACAGGGGTCTACACAGCTCAGGCTGGTTTTGAACAATAATCTGCCTGTGTATACCTCTAAAGTACTGGAATTATCACTGCCTACCTTAATACCCATCCAGGACATGACTTTTTAGTCACATTTTCATTGTCTCAGGTAGTTCAGGCTAGCCTGGAATTGTTATGTAGTCAAGAATGTTGATTTCTGACCCTTCTGTCTCCACTTCAGTTCTGGGATTACAGGCATGCACCACACCAAACCGAGACTTCTTAAATTACATTAAAAAAAATAATCTGTTTAAGATAATTTTTAAACCCATGTTTTAGGATCACCTCTAAACCTGGTACTCCCTTCATGAGATTACAGATATGCTCTCATGTGACTGTTCTAGATGACTCATGGCTTTTAAAATTTCATCTTAATGGCAAGTTGTTAAAACTTGACTAATCAGTTTCTAGTATCAGATTCTTAAATGAGAACAAAAGAAACTTCATAAAATTCAGTTTCCTTCCTTCCCAGAAAAACCAACACCTCTTAAAGTGCAAACGCATGTTCCTTTTCTTAGAGCATAGGCTAGTGAGTTTTCTGTGTTTGTGTTTAGTGAACACAGAAGTGAACATTCCAGGCTTTGTGGAATATTTGGTCTCTATTGCAACTACTCAATTTCTGCCACTGTGGGAAACAGCCTTAGACAGTACATAATTACAATGGAGCAGTACCAAGGTGGCCTGCAGGGCAGCTGGCCAACCTTGCCTTAAAACTGACAGTAGTCACCCCAAAGAAACTAACTAGTGTCTAGTCAGATGCAATGGCCAACTCAGGATCTAGCAGTAAGTCACTATAAACGTTTTGATGACGGATATTTTAAATTTAGCCACAACTCTGATTAAAGTAGATTCTTCTACTAAGAACCACACTTTCCATTGGGGGTAATATCAAGAACTTGCTTAAAAAATATTAGTTACTGAGGGTTTAATTTAAAATTAATAAATGATGCCCATACAGTTTAATATCCAATTTAATTTTTTAAAAACTTAATGAAAATATAACAGAATCAAAGCATTTAAAATAAGTACACTCACTACCCACTCCAGCAATTCATTTAAGTCATACCAACTACAGAATATGAAAAATAAATTCAGAAGTGTAATTACTTTAAAATACACTGCTTTCACTTTCAATATTTTACATTATGCATATATTCTATAGTGGAAGCAGAAATTCTCTCTAAAAACATTATCTTCTTAAAATCTTGAGGTGCATATTAGAGCTACAGGCTATTCTCTGACATATAAAATTGCAGAACAGGCCTTTTGAATTTGGCATCTCACTTGTACAATACAATGACCAAGGTATAGAACTGTACAATGCCTAGAACATTCGAGTAAGAACCATAATTCCCATCAATATAGAATGACTAATGCATATTCTACAAGGGCAGTGAGGTTAGTAATTATGTTGGGTATGTGTCCTGACATAATTTCCAAATGTACAACAACACAAACAATTTTGTTAAGGCCATGTTTTATTTGCTGATTAATGGACAAAAGGCAATGTAATTTATTTTCAAGTATTTTCTTGAAAGTCTGTGCTCATAAAAATCATGAAAAGTTGGAAACAGACTGTTAAATCACTGAAACTTTAAATATATCTTACACAATCTCATTTGTACAAAAATACAAGTTAAATATAAACATAAAGCAGTCATGGTAATTTTATGCAAATCTGTTTTATGTGATCTGTAGTTATATATATAAAAGTTTCTTGGTTCTGTGATTTGTGAAAAGGTCAACACCAGATTGAGTTACTATCTATTAGCAAAGGGCACTAAAAGCTCACTTTAGCATTAATCTTGTACATGGTTATAAGTGTTTCCTAATTTGAGATCGTCTAAACATTGGCGAAAAGAAAAAGGGCACTATGTCCATAAACCAACAAATAATCTGGCTGTAATGTATCATAAACACAAACCCACACATCTGTACAATGAACATGTTATTACATACACACAAGTGCACACATAGTGCACGTATGTATACACACACTGCACAAACAACAACCAGGCCTAATGAGGTGCCACGTCCTGCTCGATATTCAGCTGTGCATTTTTTCTGACTTCATCAAATGAGTAGCTTTTTGTCACCTTCCCATTCTTGAAAACTGTATGGAGAAGATCCTGCAGAATGTAAATTTTGTCATTAAAAAGATCATCAAATATGTGAACTGTGGACCAATTTACCTAAGAGGTCAAGCACACAAAGGTGCTGAGAGTGTCCACTTAAACAGAGAGATCATGATGAACAGTCTCAGGCCAGCTTTCTTAACAGGACAAACAAAACCCCAGACGACCAGCTTTTGTACTACTGAAGAAACGTGCTCAAGTGGGAGAACGACAGCTGTCCCTGCTACATTACTCCTCTAGAGCCTGGCCAACAGCCTCAAGGCTGTTTAGACTGGTCAATTTACAAGTTTAATAAATTTGTTAACTATTAAATTTTGGCCTTAAAAAAGGGTAAAATCTAAAAACCAAACCGAAGACAGAAACAGAAAAACAGGCATTGATTTTTTTTGGTCTCATTTATAGTGATCAAGTTACACAAAATTGTAACTGTAAAGTCATGGATAAACATCAATAGAGGATGAGGACTGAATTAGTTTCTATAAGAAGAGTCCACTGAAATTCATCTTAATTTTCTTTCTTACAGTACACATGGCATTTTTTTTTTTTTTTTTTGGGTCGGTTTTTTTGAGACAGGGTTTCTCTGTATTGTTTTGGAGCCTGTCCAGGAACTTGAGATCAGTAGACCAGGCTGGCCAAGAACTCACAGAGATCTGCCTGCCTCTGCCTCCCAAGTGCTGGGATTAAAGGTGTGCGCCAACAACACCTGGCCATTAACTGGTATCTTATGTGTTCTAAATTGCACCTAGATGTAGCATCTTCTTTGGTAAGTTTCAATACAAGCAACCAGAAAATTCTGGTTTTTATGTCTTAACTAATGTCTCCATGATCATAGAGATAGATCACCACCATGCTTCTGCCTGGACAGATGTTAGAGCACTGCTCACGCCCATGTTTCCTCCAACTCAGTCTCAACTGGCCTTGCTTCACTCGAGATGACTCAATTCGGCAGAACCTTGGTAGCTCCAATTGTAATGTGAAGTCTACTTAGAGAATTGCTGGTGGACTACAAAAAGATTGAATTCTAGAAACCTGATCTACAAGTTCACATAGTTTTCATAGAAAGACGGATTGTTTATTAATTCCAGCCCCAAACCTTAAAAAACATAAGGAAATAGTTGTCATAAGCAGTTACATTTGTACAATGTCATTGCAGCACTGTGATGCAGAACATAAACACTCAAGACAAGTTCTTCCTCTTAAACTGAGTCACCCTCCCATCTAGTGACTTAGAGATCAGTAATCTTCACTTTTGGGCACACATATGTAAGTGTACTTATGATGACAACCATTGAATCACATGGCATACATACCATACGTTCTTTCCTGTTTAACTAGAATCAGAAAACTCAGTATGGCTTTACCATCTGTTAATTATGTAATCTGAACCAACCCACTCTATTTCTATGCTACTAAGACATTTGCTTTTTTTTTTTTTAAAGCTCAGAATTCCATGAGAATGAAGTAAGACCAAAGAAAACCTCCTGAAATAGCTATTGTTAAGTTCCGAAGAAAGAATTCCCTTCAAACAGTGTGGAATTTGGCTAGTCCATCCATAATAAAATGAAAATATGCAAAGTCTAAGGGCAACACTTAAAAAGTATTATTTGCTATGCTTCTCCAGAAATTATTCACTGATAGGTAACAGTAAGATTAAGACCAAATATATATATATAAAAAAAAAACCTGTTAAAGGTCATCAATATTTACCATGTTAGCCACTATGTGAAAAAAAAAATAACTGTTCTGAAAACAATTTGAAAGTATAACACAAACTTCCATTTCTTAAATTGAAAAGCAAGTTCACTACTGTTAAAAACTCCAGTTAAACCAGGCAGTGGTGGTGCACACCATTAGTCCCAGTACATCAGAGGCAAAAGCAGGCAGATCTCCATGAGTTCGAGGCCAGCCTGGTCTACAGAGTGAATTCTAGAACAGCCAGAACTATACAGAGAAACCCTGTCTCAAAAAACAACACACACACACACACACACAGACACACACACACAGACACACACAGACACACACACACACACACACACACACACACACACACACACACACACACACACAAATATATCTTCAATCATCAGACAGATACTCACATGGCCATATTCCTCAAGGTCTCCCTTTCCTTCTTCAAGTGTAACGAAGTTCCCTGCTGGTGTCCTATGTAGAGATAACCGGCCCTTTTTTGACCTTTTGTTGGGATCAGCAACTGGATCCTTAAAAACATTAACCTGAAATCCACATTAAGGGAAGAATTATACATCAACATCCACCTAATGTCTCTAAAAACATGTATCAGTTCAATGCCACAGCTCTCAGCTGCACACAAGGATGGCTGGATCCCTAGCTAGAGCCAGTTTTTCTAAAGTGTATCATACACACGTGTAAAGAGTCTATGGTGTTGCATGTATAGTCATATCACTCTGCAACGGACTGTTTTCCTTCAAAATAGTAATGCTATGGAAACCCAAATCTTGAATCTTTTACAGGATGATTTGGAGAAATTTAACACATGGCCCTTACATGACAAACTACAAACACACACACGTCGTCACACACTGTCTAGAGAACTAGAGTATTTAGGATAAAGATGCTCTTGTTCCACAAGCTTTCCCTTTCCTCAGAAAGAGGCTGGAGAGACAGTTAAGAGGTGGGGTGTTGGCTGGCACGAAGGAAGCAGTGCATGCACTTACACAAAGGGTAACGGTTGGAGAACCTACTGGGCACTGGGCACAGTGGCACAGCCTGTAAGCCCAGCACTTGGGAAGCAGACAAGAGGACTGCTACAAATTCTAATCCAGCCAGGGCCAGGTTGCAAGACAGTACCATCGATAATGAAAGATTATAGAGCCAGAAAGACAGGAGGCAAAACACTAACAGATGGCAGTGGCGAGGAAGAGCAACAGATAAGACAAGACAGTCTCTGGAATCTCCAAAGAAAGGTGGAAGACAATACACAGGGTTTTTATTCATAATTACTGTGTGCATGTGTGTGAAGGTGATCAAAGTATAACTTTTTGGAGTTGGTTCTCTTTTCCACCTTTATGTGGATTCTGGGGATTGAACTCTGGTTACCAGGCTTGCATGGGAAAGTGCCTTTGTCTGCTGAGCCATCTTGCCTGCTCAGAGTTCTTAGCTTTCCCTGAGCCCAACTCCACAGACTACTCAGCCTTTAAGAGGCTATGGAAGATTTAAAAGAGATTGCAGTCCAGCTGTATTATGGTTATGGACCATATTCTGGTATCAAAATCAGAAATCCAAACCCCACCCACTAATAGGATCTTGACAGTGATTATTCCATACTTGATATCTTCAGTATGTGATGGCCAGGCTATCTGATAATCTTACCTAAACAGAACCAACTTCTTGATACAAAGATATATACCAAAACAATCACAATGGCTGGCCTACACTTGTCTTAAATCACTGTTTACTGGTTCCCACATCTCTTTTTTTATTACCTGACATCTTTCTTTCCCCATTTCTTAGGTAGCACCCATCAGCACCTGACAGTCCAGCAGCACCCTGTTCTTTTGAATACTGCCCTCACCGTGCCTTTCACAGACACAGGAACAAAACATGAGAAGAAAAGTTGAAGGACATACCCCAAGGCCATTTGTTACAACATAGCTGCATTTGAAGGAGCAATTCAAGAGGTCTCTTGTTAACTTCTGTAGCAAAGCTCCGCCAGAACCAAAGGAGACATTCTCAATACTCCATTTTTTTTGTTTCATTCCCTCTACAATCTAGAAGATTAAAAACAAGCAAACAAATGATCTGGAAGATGATGGAGGTTACTTTCAAAGGGCAATATTGTGAAACTCCTACACTTGTTTTGTACCAGTCAATACTTACAAGCCCAGGCAGGTAACAGTACATTTTCTTTTTAAAGACCCATTCAGGGTGCAATGGGTATATGGAAGGAGGGTTCACTGACAGATTTTCAGTGTACAGAAAGAAGTCAATGCAGTCAGGCTGAGAGTGAAGGAGCCAGAAACTGGTGATATATACGTATCTGAGGCTTTGTGGGCTCTCCCAGCAACCTCAAAGCTACTGTCCAATGCCAGCAACAAACGCTGAAATACTTGCTCCACGTTACTAGACTCTAGGGATTTGTAACCATCACAAATACATCACAGTGCACTGTGTTACTACACCTAACATTTACTGTTTGGCACACGCAGTTATTGACAGGAGCATCACTGTGTTACTGCACCTAACAGTTACTGTATGGCACAGGGCAGTTATTGACAGGAGCATATAATACTCACTTGTACCTAAGTCATTTCAACCTGTCTGGTGCTCCAGTGCATAAACAAAACTATGTACACCACTTTAGATGTTACAATTTATGATTGGGTCACAGCAGGAAAGAACGATTATTTATGTTCCAGCTGGAGAGACTGGTGTGGCACAGCTTTTTCAAGGGTCACAGGATTTAAAAACAACAAAGCCATGTTTCCAGTGACATCTGTGTTTCTCTACCCCGGGTTTATCTACCAATCATGTACCTCTAATTTACAAACAAATCCAATCACTTTCATAATAGAAACAGTAAGTAAAATTTATTAACCATTTTTTTGAATTTCATGAAAAGCCATGTTCTGTTTAAAAGAACTATTTAAAAAGAATTTCCAAAGTGATTAAAGCAGAGGCCAGTTACAGCTTTAAAATGAATCGTTTACACATTCTCCCCACATACTAAGTCTCAAATTGACATTGTAAAAGGAATCAAAGCCTAAACTTCATCCTGTGTTAATAATCTAACACTGAGAAATGCAATCATTTTTAAAATTTAAAATTGCAACCATCTAATTCTTCTCTCTCTATGTGTATGCTTTTCTTTTAAAACAAAATATGGTTTTCAATGAGGAAAAATTAAGGTAAAATACACAGTTTAAAGTGATTCTTTTAGGCTTTATACAAATCTGGTCTTGTGTCTATTACTGTGTCCTGAGCAGGCATGGAGATTCTTGTGCTCACAGATAAGCACTAGGGGAACCAGGATGTAAACACACAGGACTATCTCTGTAGAAGGCTAGGAGCAGATATGGTTAACAACCTAGTGACCTTTGCATTATCTGAGTGGTTGAGACCAGGGCTTGTCAATCTATAGAACCCATTTATGGAAGATGTTGCATGTATGTTATAAAGAGTGTCTTGGGCTTTATTGTGCACACAGGATTGAGTTATTTATCACCAGAAAACAATTTCCCCAAATTGTGCTGTGCTTAAATATACCTAAAATTATGTACTTTGTGTCAGACTTTTGAAGTTTGAATCAACACCGGCTACTTGTATTGAACTGAACTAACTACCTTCTTGCCTCCCAAGGTGGTCACAAAGAGCCCCCCCTTCCCAGGGATGGGCACAGACAGATTAGCTTGAGACCCACCACCAGATGAGCAATAATGAAAAGGAGAGCTTCACATCGTGGTATGTCAGCTCAAGTTTCTCCACTCTAAAGCAAGTCATTCACAAGCAAATCAGAAGAAAAAAATTCAAGGTAAAAGTAAATGGTCAAACTATCACTCTTATTGCATAATCCATTTTCATATTTCACACCATGGTATTTAAATTAGCTGAGGGGTCCTTAGGATTTTATTATCTGCTAACATCACTTATATGAATTGTGCTCCAGTGTGCAGGTTCTTTTCATATATTATGTATTTATGTAGGTCAAAAAAAGTAATTCATTCCTAACATTTACATAAAATCAATGCTTTCTAGTAAGCTTCTGAATCAAAGTTGTAATTCATAGAAGAAACATACAAGAGATGGGTTTCAAGGTAAGGACAGCAGACAGAAAGGAAAAGTGGTCATGAACTGCATCTAAGATTTTAAGCTATAAACCAGGTGGCAGTGGCACATGTCTTTAATCCCAGTACTCGGTAGGCAGAGCCAGGCGGATATCTGAGTTCAGGGCCAGAGTAACTTCTAGGATAGGCTCCAAAGCTACACAGAGAAACCCTGTCTCAAAAAACAAAAACAAAAAATATAACAGCTTGATAATAAAAACTTTGGAAATCTGTTAGATTGCAAAGAAACCTTCCTTTTTTATGGACTCAGAGGAGTCAGTACTATTTTAATGATATCAGTAAATCATTCTGGTGGAGAAAATAGAACAGCATCCAAGGAGATCAAGTCCTCAGGCCACCAACATAAACAGGAAACTGTATTTTCTGATACAAGATTTTTGCCCTTTGTTCTGGTTCACAGTAGAAGCTAGAGCAGCATGCCATGTGACAATGAATGTTGACAGGAAATCTATGGCTGAGGTTGGCAGCTAAGGAAAGAATGATGGTTTGTTAGATAAAATATCCCTACCCCATTAGCAAAAATTAAGGACTCTGATTAACATATATAGAAGAAAACTGTTAAGATGAATTCCTTTTCCTGTTTCTAAGACCACATGTGACTAACTTCCAACATGAGAAAATCAAGTACATTTGCTAGGTATGGGCTTCTTCTCCCTGTTTCCCCAAAGTGCATTGCTTTAAGAGCCAGTTTAAGATATTCTTCCTACAACAGTGAGTGCATCAACACTACACTACTCGGCACATATGATTTGCTTCAGTTGTCAGCCTGACAAGGGAGAGGGAACTTCAATGGAAGAACTGCTCAGATCAGGCAGGCCAGTGGTCACCTCTGGGAGGCATTTTCTTAATTATTAATGGATGCAGGAAGGCCCAGCCCACTGTCAACAGTGCCATTTCCAGAGAGGTGGGAGGTACTGAGAAAGCTGGCTGAGCAAGGTGTCTAGACCTGTTAAATGCTCCACTCCCACCTCTTACCCACAAGCTCACAGACCACCCAGATCTAGATAATCCTTAGATTGTGTCATGCTGAGAACTCTTATACATACTCTGACCTCTTCAAACAAAAGCCTTCATTCTGTTTCTCTTTAGAATTATAGTAGAAGGTGGCCCAGGGAAGTATGAGCTGGCTGGTATTTCTGTATTTTAAGCTACTGTTATTTCTAAACACCAAAGGAATTTACCATCATAAGTATTCAAAATAAGACTCAACAATTGCATTTAAATTTTAATAGGCTATTTATGAATAAAAAGGAACTTTTCAAGAATGGGGATTTCCTTCTTGTAACATTCATGTAAAACACATTACCTCCTGTAAAGTGTTGATATCCACTCCATCTCCCTGAATGACTCTCAGATAAGGTGGCAGTAACTTGTAGCCCTTTGAGTTCTCAGTAACAGGAAACTTCTTGCCTAAAATATCTAAGACCTGCATGAAAAACAGGACATAAGTAACCAAAATGGGGGGGGGGTGCTTCCCAAGCTAAGAATAAACAATTTTCAGATTGCAAAAGTTCAGTTACCTAAACACGTACAAAGCTTTATAAAATTTGGTTCCAATACCTTTGAATCACATTAGAAAAAGGTATGCTCTTTTCTATTTCAGTTCTGTTTGGTTCACACTTGTCTGAGTCACAAAGCTGACAGAAAATGCAACTGTCAGAGTGAGATGGAAATAAAGCATACACAATATGCAGTTTGTTCAAAGCTCTTTGCTCTTGTAATGCTAATGTGTGTGACTGATACTTAAGCCACTCCATGCAATGATGGCTACTCAAGATGTTATCAAAGCAGCTCAAACCCTTAAACACTACTTGATCAGGAAAACCTGTCCAGGGACACTGAAGACCTACTAGCCACATCCCCCTCCCACAATAATTGCTTCCTTTCCTACATACCCTAACCCTAATAAAACTCCATGTAAATGAATATAAAAGCTGTTTAGTTTGTCAAAAGTGAAACACTTCAGGTTAAGACAGAATGGGCTGTATACAGAACCGGAAAAGATCCCCTTGAATCTCTGTCCCCACTTCCTATGAGTGAGTGAGTGACACGCCATCTGCTCATTAGCTAAGAACAGTTATGGGAAGGCTCCAGACAGAGGCCTACCCTGGATACTAGACCCTGTTTCCATGTTTCTCAACCCTGGTGTGTCACTTCCTCCTTTACAACAGAGATGGTAAGAGCCACCAGAGGTTTTTTTTTTTTTTTTTTTTTAAATGAGATTAAAGTAAACATTTTGGTGTAAAGCACCAAACAGTATTTCTCTAGAAGGCATCAATTACCTCCTGCTGGATGAATACTCTGTAAAACAGGCAAATCAAGCCCTGAGCACTAAAAGGGCAGCTCTGCTTGGAGACAGTTCTAGCTCTAGCCAAGCATGACTTGAAAAGCAGTTCTGAATCACTTGCATTCTTTATTACCCTGAACATATGCCTTCTGTGCCAACAACTTCAAAGTTGTAACAATGATTTCTAATAAATGGAATAGACAAGTTGACTAAATCACAAGCCTGATTAAGATGGTAATGCTACTAATTCAGAAGGCACATAAGGAAGTATTCAGTGGCCTTTAATTGTCAACTTGACAATTTGTAAATAAACTAACCTCCACCTCCTTTCTCTGCAATTAATGTGTGACCTTGGGCAAATCTACTGTTCTCTGAGTTACAACTCTGAAAACCAGGAAACTTTCCCAGAAAGTCTTGAAATCATGCGTACACAAATGAGCAGCACTGAAGAAGCTGGTGTACAGGCATCTTAATGATACACATTACAATTTACCTTCAACACAGTGTCGAGCGGATTTCCAGAGTCAGGTCTGATGATTAGCGGAGCCTCTGTACTTCTTGATACTATTAAATGTCTTAGGTCTTCACCCCATATTTTCTCACAAGCATTATAAATGTCATAACTATCGCTGACCACAGACACAGGCACTGATGAGAACTGTGTTACTATGTGTTCAAAAGCATCTTTTTCATGGTCTTTCCCCCAAGCTGTTATGGTACTAGAAAACAAAGCAAAAAAATACAGACTTACTCAGGCAGACACATGACCAGTGCAGAATCGTCAGTAACTACAATCTTCACCACACCACACTGTCAGTGTGTCATGGAGAAGGGATCCAGTTTAATAAATGTACATCAGAAGGCATATGAAATATCTGGGCCAAGTTATTCCTTGGCCAATTTGTTTTTAACACTATGAGTTAACTATTCAGCTCAGAAGTTATTACTTAGCTCTCAAATCAATAGTTACCCAATTATAAACTGTTTTTTTTTCTTTCCTTTCTTCAGCATCCTTCAATCTAATCAAGAGTCACATCACACTGATGGCTCTTTTTACAAAGCAGTAGCTGTGCTCACGTCTCCACTTCATGCATGCGATGGGAAAGACACAGATGAAGAGAAGCCCACAGTCATAACTACTGCTCCTGTCCTCCCTAAGTCATAGAATTGAGCTCAGTAATCACCAACCCTACAGTAAGATGTCATTATCTATATAGCTTCTGTTGACTAAGTCTGTGTCAACAGTCTCAAGGGTGCTATTTGTGTATCTGGGTTTATTTCCGCTGTCAATTTCAGTCATCAAGGTGAGTTTTTGTTCTCAATTGCTCAACTTTCCTGATGCATGCTCTCTTTCTTTTGACTGCGATGTCACTTTCCACCTTCAGTGTTCTGGGATTTCTTCATTTCCCTTCTGCCTCTTCCACAGTCTCCCTTGGAAACTCCCCTACCCCCCCCCCACCCAATCTAACTGGGAACCTGGCCCTCTGTTAAACTGGAACTTTGTCTACCCCACAGCCTCTGTGACTTCGGCACAGTACCATTCAAGTGTTCTGTTGTTCAGTGACTTTGATACCTTCCTAGAGTCTGAGGGGAAAGTATATATAACTCAATTATTTTTATGTTCAGACTCTAATTTTCTAAGGAATTATTTACAATAGCAGTAATGGTTTAGAGCTAGTGTATACATTAGCATTTATTCTAAGTGACCTGCTGTACAACTGTAGCTTCTCCTTTTGTGTGGTTGGATAGAGAAACAGAAGGAAACAGAGATGAATGAATGATAAACACAAGGCTACCCACTATGTCACCTGTTAAGTCAAGTAGGCTTTAGTCAAATACAGAAAGTATTATGCAATCATAAAACACACCAGATTGCACCCTGTGCATGTGTACAGTGTCCTTTCCATCTGACAAAGAAGCCCTAAGAGATGCTCCTTGTTTATAGACTTACGGTATATTCATGTACTTATTACTTCAAAACTTATTTGGCTGACAGCCACTATGCGATTACATTAAATTTTTTAAAGATATGGGTATAGACAAAAACTCAAATAACTTCCATCAGTTATCACCCATACTTTTCTTAATCCTGAGGGCCGTGTCATACAGCAATGTCCTTAGCTGCATCTATTCTCCTGAATTACAATGCAAATAATCTGTCTGATCTCATGTTTGTCAAACTTCTCTCCATTCATTTAGTCATCTATCTCTGGACCTTACCCCTCTCAAGACCACTGTTTCCTATACTATTTCCTAGAAAACTTAGCTTCTAGTTTTTCTATTTTCTTGCCATCAAAATAACCTAAAATCTATTTCCAATGTATCATTTGCTCAAAACTTCCGGACCTGATTCTTTTGAAAACGCCTAATTAATAGTAAGCTAGAGCTTGGGAAATGGAGGCAGGAGAATGCACTCTCTGTTTATGCTCTGTGTAGCCCGGGGCTGTCGTGGAACTCACTCTATAGACCAGGCTGGCCTTGAACTCAGAGATCGGACTGCCTCTGTCTCCTGAGTGCTGGGATTAAGGGCGTGTGCCACCACTGCCAGGCTCTGCTGTTTACTTTCAATAAAGGGAACTCTAGAACCAGATCGGCTGCAACATGGATTATAATTTCTTAGTATGCCTTGAGATGGTTTAGTAAGAGTAAATAAATAAACATAAGAGAATTGGAATACCTCTTTTTTTTTCTGTTAAAATGGCTTACTTATCTAGAATTGAAGACACTGGGTCCAAATGACAATTTCTTGGGTAAGAGTAGGCAAGACCACATAGGAAAGTGGGGAAGTGGATTTAGTGTTTCCAGACTTTACTAATAAAGAAAAATCTATCGGCATATACAATACAGCAAATGAAAAACCATTCCTTAAAACCAGTATGGCAATTGTTAAGTGTTGGGAAAAGCTCTTCGATTCTTTTACTAGAGTGGTTCAAAATCCTAGCCCTGCCTGATGCTGATCTTTATAAAAAGTGTGATTACTCAATTTGTACTGTTTTTCCATGAAAGTTTATTTAGAACCTGACTCTGGAGTCAAGTAAGATATTGCTGAGTTACACATAGCAAATTCAAACCAAGTTTTAGAGGGCAATTTTGTTGTTTGCAGGCCAGAGCTAGGACCACGGGCCTTGTATGTGCAAGCAAGTGCTCAAATCTTTAGCATGGGAACAACAAACTCAATTTTACCTGTGCTCTGCCGCTGGAACAGAATAGCCTGGAACAGGATCTTTTGTTCCATAGTATTTTTTGATTAGAGCAATTCCCGCCACCGTATCTGTTCCTTTGAAGTTAACCAAATGAGCAGATGCTCCTATGCCAGCAGTCTGGAAGATTAACCACAAACCAAAATTCAAAACAGGAGCTAACACATTTGCCCCATCCCATTTCCCATCCAATTTTTTTCTTTGTAGTCCTGACTGTACTAGAATTCACTCTGTAGACCAGGCTGGCCTCAAACTCAGAGATCCGTCTGCCTCTGCCTTCCGAGTGCTGCGATTAAAGGTGTGCGCTACCACCGCCCATTGCAATTTCTTTACCCCACACTTGTGCCATGTTTGCTGCACCGGTCTGTCCCCTCCACCTAATCATACAGAACTGGAGCATGTGTTTAGAGGTATATTCCATGTACTGAGAGCAGCATGACACACTGCAGATATCTAGTTATCTGTTGACTAAGCCCTCAGAGTTGCAAGAAATGGCCTACTTAAAGCCAGCTTCATCTCAGAGGCATTCTGAGAAGTTGACCGTGGCCTCACACTGACATGGTTTAGATGAGAATGCTCTCTATAGGCTCAGATATTTGAACACTTGGTCTCCAGTTGGTGGTGCTATTGAGGGAGGTTTAGGAGGGTAGCCTGGCTAGAGGAAACATGTAATTGGAGGCTTTACTAGTTGAAAGTCTATGACACTTGCAGTTTTCTCAGTCTGATTCAGGCTTGCATTTGAAAATGTGAGGTCTTGGACTCCCTGCCATGAGCAGCCATCATAAACTTTCTTCCATCTGTGGCTGTGGTAGTGATGCTTTCTCACAGCAACAAAAGTAGCTAGTATACCCACTGATAATCCACACTGTATGCCCTGAGACTCCTCTTGGTTCCTTACCTCTTGTGAAGAGACTCCTCTGTAACCAAAATCATGTAACTTGTACTCCAGACCATCTAAATTACCAGAGGTCTCTAACAAGTATCTGGCCAATATTTTCTTCTGCTCTCTTGAATTGGTGGCCACTGTAATTGGATACCAGGACTGAACAAGAATAGTCTGCAACAACAGAATTAACCACATTATTGGCATAAGAAACTGGGCTCCTCCTGGGGAAATCACGGCTTACTTCTGGACTTAGAAAGAAATCAGCCCTCAGGAAAAGGGGACTCACTGCACATGCAGCCCCTACTCAACCACGTAAGCAGTAGAGAGAAGTAAGCACTTGCACTCTCAAGCAGACAACTTCAAACACAAGTTTTGATTCTAATTACATTCCGCCACAGACAGGCAGTTTCATACTTGATGCTGAGGCAACGTCCCATTGTCCTAAGTTACTCAACACTTATTCTTGACTCCCTTACTTGTGGAGGGTAGCACCAAAGTCCCAAGAACCAGCTCTGACTTACAGACTGTAAGAGCTACTTCAAACAGTCCTGTCTTTAGTCCTTTAGACTTGCACAGTTCTAGCAGTGCTATGGTATCAGAGAACCAGTCTTTACATTCTTAGTTTTTACAAAGCCTGCTATAAGAAAGCTATGTGAAGTGTTGATGTGAAGAAGGGTTAGAACTGCTGGGTTCTAAGAGCCATTCTTCAGTTTCCCTTTTTTCTTGGCTCCCAGGAAACTCTAAATTCAAGTTGATGTTTAACAAAAACGAGTTATTTTGGCTTGGGAATTTGCTATTTCATTCTACAATGGTAAATTTCCATTTTTACTTTCTAAGCCTGATAGCATATTATCAGAAGCACTTTCCAATCTACTTAGAAAAAGCTAAGATATAATTATTTAAATGGTAATGATATCTGAGCTGTATTCATTTCTGATACAAATTTTTTAAACTTTTTTTTAAGACTTGCTTTTTCTGCATGTACACCTGCATGCCAGAAGAGGGCACCAGATCTCATTATAGATAACTGTGAGCCACCATGTGGTTTCTGGAAATTGAACTTAGGGTATCTGTAAGGGGAAGTCAGTGCTCTTAACCTCTGAGCCATCTCTCCAGCCCCCTGATAAAAATTTTATAAAGCAAAATTTTGCCAACTTACTAAGCATAAGCTAAGTGATCCGCAAATGAAACCAATGGAAAGAGATTATTTAATTTTAGACATGACAATCAGCTCATCTAAAAAGCAAACCACTGTGGCATTACATTTCTGAGGTTGAATCAATATGGCCTCCAAGCCATATTGAAGGCTATGAACCCTCTCATCTGAAGTTCTAGTCCTCATGCCTTGACCCTGGGCTATCCTGTGATCAACTGTGTCTCTGTCTCAGATTATGTGATTCCAGGCTCCATGAAGTTTCTACCTTGGTTTACATAAACCGCCTGATTTGTAAAAGGCAACAGTCCCACCTAATGGAGTGGAGGCCATGGGAAGCTGCCCAGTTTAGCTGAATGCAGATGTTTAAATCCAAGCAAGACCTACTGAGGAACATCCGGGAAATCACACAACCATGGGGAACAGCAGCTGTGTGTAGCTACTGTCTGGAAATAGTTGTTGACAGCAAAGCTGACACAACTCTCATCTCTGACACATCTCTTAAAATTTCTCTTCTGACCCCACCACCAATCATGAGCCTCCTAACTCCACGTGTTAGCCTGTGACCTGCTCTCCACACTGTTGCTGGACATCATTCCAATGCAAGCTTTAGACAGGGTCTATCATTCTTTACAAACTAATTAGCTACTTTCAATTAAGACAAGGTCCAAGTTTCCCCATCTTTGAAATGGCATTTCATCAGTATAATCATCTTTTAGAACCAGAAAGGTTTCATTCTGTTTCTGGTCAGAAGGGAGTGTGTGGTCTAGTGTGCTTGCTCCTCAGCCCCCTTGTATGCCTGAGACCCTTTACAGAACTTCCAGGTGTTGGGGAATACTTGTTAAACTATGCAAAGATGTGTTGCTATTTTACCTTCCCTGCCTATGGCACCTGATTGGTTTAATAAAAAGCTGAATGATCAATAGCTAGGGAGGAGGTATAGGTGGGACTTCTGGGCAGGGAGTCTGTAGGAGGAGGAATTTAGGCTCAGGGAAGAAGGAAAAGGAGACAAAAGGGAGACACTGGGGGCCAGACAGACAGACAAAGAGGAAGCAGTGAAAGTAGGACATACAGAATGAAAGAAAGGTAAATGGCCCTGAACAGCAACAGGTTAAAGTTAAAAGTGCTAGTGGGACAAGCATAAGCTAAGGCTGAGCTTTCATAATTAATAATAAGGCCCTATGTCATTATTTGGGAGTTGGTTGGCAGCCCAAAGAAAATTCCAATTACACATGGCCTTGCAAGCTTTTTGTGTGGTTTCAGGACAGGGACTCAGTTCCTCACACTGGTGCAGCAAATACTCTTACCTCTGGGCTGCCTCCATAGACCACATGTGTTTAATATATTTTTTTTAAACTTAAACTGATATTTATCAAAGGAGGGAGAGGAACAAATGCTAATTATGTATTATTAACCGTCACTTTAAGCTGTCAGATTTTTTTTTTAACTTTGTGGGTTTTTTAGTAAAATATACCAACAACAATGACAGTCATTAAATAATCACTTTCAAAAGAGGATAAAGGGCAAGGTAAAGTAGCAACTATTTAATCACTCTTTTTCCATTTTTCAAGTGTGTGGAGTATGTGTGTGTGCACGCACATATGGATATTGAGCTTCATGCTGGGAATCATCCTGGATGATCCTGCTCTTCCATTTCACTCATTAAGACAGGATCTCTCTATCAAACCCAGAGCTAGTCTCCCTGGCTAGCTTGCTCTGGGAATCCCTGTCTCTGCCTTCCAAGGCTGAAATCACAGGTGGGCTATTAAGACTCCCTGGCATTTACATTGGTTCTTGGGATCTGGATTCCTGTAGATTGTGAGGTAATCACTTTAATTACCACACCTTTCCAGTTCCTACTTCATTACTCTTTACCTACCTTTGGAGACACCCACCTAGTCATAGGAGGCAGGACTCATTACTCATTTGCAAACTAAAAGTGATTAAGTGTGCTTCCTATTTGAGATTTTTGGCTTTGAAGAGAAAATGCTATTCTGAATGTACTAGCTGAAGACAGTGTGGTTCAAAACAATTCTACTACAAGGCTGAGGGTCTAGCTCAGTGCAACAACTATGTGTTTAGCTTGTGCAAGGCCCTGAGCACTGTGTTCCATCTCTGGTATCACTAAAACCAAATCCCCCAAACCCTTCTCCTACTCTTGTGTTTTCTTATATTATTCTTTCAAAATCAAAATCCGCCAATACAAAAAGTAAGATTTGCTGTCATTTATTTGGAGTTCACAGATAATTCAAAGTTTTACTACATAGAACAGACTGATTAAAACATATTTTAGTTCACCATACCATTTTTCTGAGCCTATTTTAGGCCTGATATTAGTTGATGGCACATCAAAAGTCTAATAGCATTTGAAATTCTCAGTCACCTTAGTAAAATGTATTTCAAACATATTCTGGGGTCTCATTTTTCCAAAATCGTAATTTATGCAGTGTAACAACAAATTACTTTCATCAACACTGAGATTCTGCTGTTAACTATATAAAGAGCACTCAGCGATGCACTGTTCTATTGTTGCTTATAGGTCATTTCCTCCACAGATGAATCGCATAGTGGTCCACCAAGAAGCTAGAGATTATATTATCAAAATGGTGACTGTGACAATGTGGAACTACTTAAGACACATGTAAGGAAACCAAAATACCTACTACATGTGTGCCCTTCTTTTAGCTTTAGAAATTAAACAGTAGGAATACAGAATGTCTGTATTTAGATTAGATGCTGAAAAATTCACTGAAAAATCAGTAAATGCACCGACTCTAACTGGAGAAGTCTGCATTTGTTAAAAATGAACTTGGGCTACTTTTCTAATTTTTCTATAAGCTAGTATATATGGAGAATGCCAATGGATTAGTTAGCCTGGTGTAGCAGTGTTTGGGAGGCTAAGACAATTCAAGGCCTGCCTGAACAACCTTGCCTCAAGAATTTTTTTGAAAAATTCATGATGGAGGTGTAATTTAGTGCAAGAGTCTTCTAACGTGTGCTAAGCCCTAAATTCCAGTCCCAGTAACACCAAAAGAAAAATATAAGATAGATATCAACTGACCTTTAAGTAACAAACAACATCATTTGATTCACACAGAATCTCCTAAAATAACATTGCATTTGAATGAAGGACTTTAAAGTTCATTTAGCTCAATTATCATTCACTGATGAGGAAGCTGAGGCAGGAGTTAAGTTTTAGATTTACTAATGGTGGCAAACTTACTGGATTCAATGGTCTTTTATCTTCAATCACCATTAAAACAAGATTCTGAAAACAAGCAAAACCTTACTCACCTCAATCCAGTTGGTAAGCCAGTAGCACTCAGGGTCTGTGTTCTCCACTGTGAACAGCACATTCCCTCTGGGGATGACAGAGCCCTCAGGAACAGCCTTTACTTCAATTGGAAGATGACCATCATATTTCTGGCAGGAGGCAACAATATTCACTCATTCATCAAGCAATGTGCAGTTGCCTGTTATATTAAGTTTTTTGTTTTTTTTTTTTTTTTACATTTTATGGAAGCTATATTTTTACCACTGCAGGAAATATAGATGTTGTTAAATCATTAGCAATAATCTAATTAGTCAGAGTACCTTGTAGTTTCTGAATCAAGTTAAAATGATTAAAAACTTAGGCACCAATCCAGCTGTTAAGTTCATGCTGTTTCTGTTAAGAATACCTACCACTCACGATCAACACTGATCAACACAGCATTTCCCTGACTTGTTCAGGAAAACAGAGAAATGTCATTCTAACACACTCTAAAAAATTTCCTACAAACAACTTGGTCTAGACAGGTCATTTTCATACATTAAAAAAAAAAAAAAGGAAAGATTAAAAACTAGTGTGAAAGAACACAGAAAGAAAAGGAAATCACTCTAGAATACTTTTATGTTTTATCTTTTTTCTGGCAAGTACACTCTTAAAACCACAAGGACCCTGACATTCAATGTCTAAGTTTAAGCCACTGCCCTGATAACCTTTGAATATTTGGTTCCCAGATGCTGGAACTGTTTGGGAAGAATTAGGAGATGTGGCCTTTTTGGAGGAGGTGTGTCACTGGGGTCGGGCTTTTTTCTCTGCCTTGTGGAGGATATAAAGCCCTTATCCAGTGTTCCATTGGCTCCCTGCTATGATGGGTCACAGATCCAACTTTTGAAACCGAACACCCCAACAAACTCTTCTCTACATCGCCTTGGTCATGTGTCTTAGAACAGCAATAGAAAAGCCAGAACCCCACTCTTCATAGATAGTTAACCCTGTCTAGAAGGCAAGTTGCTGTGGAAATCCTGAGTTGATGTGATTCAGGACACAGCATCTAAATGAGAGAAAACAATAACTATGAGTTTGATATGCTGTACAGCATACTCCAAAATTAGTGTAGTAATGCAGAAACCACTAGTCTTTTGCCCTTATAATTCAATTCCCAGTAATTTGGATGATCAGGACATTATAGTAAAGTGAAAAGCAAGCATCAACTCCAAGGAGCTACACCCAGCTATTATGACTATTTGCTGAGAGAAAGTTCACAGAATTATTATGTTGTAATAAACGCATAGTATCATTTTTACTTGAGTAAGTTAGAAATAACTTTTGAAATTGACAAGTAACAATACTCTCAAAATTATCAGTGTATCTCCATTTTCTAAGGCATATTTTCCAGAAATGTAATAAATTATCTTTCAGAAAATGAGTTATAATATTACTTAGGTCTACTATAAACTATCTGTTAATGATTCACACTACAGAGAAAATCCAAATGTTACCTAGTTTTTATAAGAATATCTAAAAATGACCATTATATTCAGATCATCAACAAAAAGCTTTAGTTATAGTTGAATGTTCTACTCAAATTCTATGGCAAGAAATTTTGAATTAAGCAAAAACCGAAACAGATAAAAAGCAACAGCCACTTTTACCTCAAGAATGTAGTTCCATCCCCTTTCATTGAAGACATCATCTTGGAAGTGCTCTTTGTACACTTCTTTGGCCTCCTGGATCTTCTCTTTGGTCACTACTTTACCTGGAAGGACACCGGTCTTGCTTACATCCTTTGAATTGCTGAGTCACCACAGCAATGTCTTCAACTCTCACCCCATTTATGATCAAAAAGTACAGAGAGGATGAAGGAGATTCACCAGGTCAAGAGCAGATTCAGCAGAGAAACCTACTCATCCAGGAGTTCACCCAACATAAATGTTTACTATTCTAAAGCTGGGGAGCAGCCCAACACAGTGGCTCAGGAAGTCAAAGTAGGAGGGTCAGGAGTTCTGAAGCCAGCCTGCATTATCCAGTGAGACCCTGTCCTGAAGCACTCAAACAAGCAAGCAGGTAGAGATCAGACAGACACCTGCACAGCATCAAAACAAACAAAACCTAACTCCAGTGCTTTCAGATATTCTTTAAATGTAAGATAATCAATAGCTTATTTCCAGGTGAACTTTCTTCAGAGATGTCTCTGGGACTAGGCAATCAATAATTTTCACAATTACTAATTTCTACCCCATCCCCATTTTTAGCTAGCTTTTCTTATTTGTATAATCAGGAAAAGGGTACAGTACTTACTTACAGGGTGATAACACAGCTATTTAGAAAACAATGGCCTAGAGCACTTCTGTAAACTACTGATGAGGATGTACAATTAGATGGTAGTGGGGTGGTCTTATAAACATTTGGCAACAGTAAAAGCTTCTGAATGTACAAGAGCCACAGGTTAATTCAAAACCAAACACATAATGAATTCCAAGTTTTTTGGCAATGTTCACCTGTGTTGTTGGATCATCCAACTTCATCCAATTGGGTGTGAGCACATACATGTGCACTTTGTACTGTGCATGCTGTCACACCATGCAAAGTCAACAAATGATGCCTAAAATACCTTGCTTGGCTTCGACTATTGTCTGCTACAAACTGTAGTATTTTTGTTATCTGTAACAAAATTCTCTGCTCTTACAGAAACACAATGGTTTAATCACAGAAAACACTTTTAGTGTTTTCCTCCTGTCACTCTTAAGTATGTAGTTTAAGCTAGTATATGTTTATACTGTATTGTGTTAACAATGCTTGATTTTAAAAACTGGTGTTTAAGTTGCTGATTTGAGTTTCATTAAAAAAAAATTGTTTTATGCATTTTAGCTTGGGTTTAGGACAGAAGTCCCATCAATTATGAAATGGCCCTAAACATACTTCTGCCATTTGTACTACATAGTAATATGAGGTGGCAGTCTCGGCATTATAAAAATATGCACATGTACATTACTATGTTTAGTCCTTAATAAAAAGTAACATTAGATACATTAGGAAGTCATTTTTTTTTAAATCAGCAAATGTTTGCTTATATATCTATCTTATATACTTTTATACTCAGAATTGTGTAAAAACACCTCAGGTTAAGAAAGAATTGCCAATGGCAAAAGTTTAAGAAGCCCTTGTCTAAAGTAGGCAATCAATGTGTGTGCACACACGCAATACAGTAGCAACTTACATATAATAACTAATAAAGTTATAGAACTGAATAAAAATTTATAATCTATGAGACCAATGTTAGCCAGTGTATTTGAAATGCCCTGTGCAGTCTCTCTGCATACAGTAGGACCTTTACATCGAGCTGTGTACTCAGCTGTGTAGCCTGCCTGACCCATCTGACCTTAAAACAGCTAGCATTTGCACACAATTAAACTTAACCTGTACTCAACTGAAATAATTTTTGTTTCAAAAATTTTCAGATGTGCAATGTCTCTGGAACTGAAACCCTGCCTAGAAACTCCATTACAAAATATGCTATAAATGGCCTCAACAAATATCCAAACCACCCCTAATAATTACTGGTGGAGTTTTCTGTTTTAAAATGAATTTTAGAACTAAACCCTTTACTGTAAATATTTATGAAAAGTGAAACTTTAATGTATATCTAAAGTAATATAAGGTATTCTAGTTAAATCTACCATAATTCAAAATGAGTTCCCGGATCAATAATAAATCTGAGTGAATAGCTAAATCTATCAGTAAACAAGAATAGTCTCTGAATATTACTGACTGCCCGAAGCTTTCTTTGGAAACTCACCAATTTCAGAAAACCTTTCTCCAACTTCCCAAAACAACTGTTAAAGTGGTGACCAAATATAATTAAATATCAAAATCAGATTACTCAAATAGTTACTTCAAATAGCAGAACATAATAGAGAGAAACATGAAATCACATAAAGCAGGGTTTTAAATGTACTGGGAAAAGCAATACCTTTTAAGTACTTATTAAGAATGTACTGCAACCCATAAAATACTGTTTCCTCGTATTTCACCTTCCTTACTTTGGAGTTTTCAGTCTTCTTTTCACGGCATTCAAAGTAGGAATAAACTTTGCTTGTGTTGGGTGGGTACTGTTTATAGTGAGTAACCTATACAAAGAAAGACATCTTCATTAGGAAACACCTAGAGCACAACAGACAAGCACAATAGACAAGTCTTCAAATGACTTCCAAATTGGACTGCTTCTTACTTGTTATTGATCAACCTCCCCACCCTGGTTGCACAGGGCAAGAGACATATGCCACTAGGATCCTGCTAATAATTCCTTATTTTACCATCAAAACAAAAAGTGACTGAAGACATCACACTTAAGTGGGTTCACTCTGAGGTACACAACCGTAACAAATAAGCCAAGGCAGCCGATTCAGATGAGTTGTGTATGGATTTGTCTTCGGAGAAATGTTTGAGACTGGAGTTTCAGGACACTTGACTGTCCTTGCATTCTGGGGATAGGACCGGTCTACGTGAGGGAAATACTTCCATCTTTCTGTGTGTATGTGTGTATGTGTATGGAGGTCAGAGGCTGTTTTTGGGTCTTCCTCAGTCACTCTCCCTTTTATTTTTGAGACAGGATCTCTCATCAAATCTGGAGCTCATTAATTTGGCTAGATTAGCTGGCAAGCCCAGAGGTTCCCTGCCTCTGCCTTCCCAGCACTTGTTTTGTAAGCACATGCCAACAAGGGTGCTTTTTATGTCGGGCGCTACAGATCAAACTCAGGTCCTTAGGTTTAAGCAGGGAGCACTTTATCGACTGGCCTCCATATTTTGACTGTGACTGGTTTTATGTGGTCAAGTTTGGAATTCTGCCCATGACATCCATACTAAAGAAGTTTCAGGTTTTGGATCATGAATGCTCAGGCTATACCACAGCTACCTAAGGCTCCATGTGTGGGGATAGTCCCCTGCTCTATGCCGTTACAAGGCACTGAGGGTGTCTTCTGACTGCCATGTGTTCTACAGAAATCTGGATGAAAGCAGCAGCCGCAGCAAATCTTCAGAATAATGGAAGCAAACAGAAAGCCTGTTTTAGGTGACTGCTGCTAACAAACACGATAACCTGAAATTGACCCCCCGGGACACATGTGGTAGATAAGAAGAGACTCCTCCATGCCATTCTCTGATCTCCACATGAGCACCAGGTATAGGCATCCATACACACTTAAATATAAAATGTAGTAAAACATTTACAAACACAAATGGAGCCTCCCATTTTGCTACTTCTCAAATTGCCTCCTAACTGAATAGTAAGTTCATGACTTTAAAAGCATAAAGGCCTTTTATCACAATTTCTATTCTATGAATTTTCTAAGGGCTACTGTCAAAGACTTAGGTTTGGTATTCACTAGACTTTTACTTTTACTGTAGTGTTTTTGTCTAAGGCATCTGCTTGTAAATTTACAAGTAAATGACTAGAGGAGTCGTGTGTGTCCGCACAATGCTAAGAATAGAAAAAGTAACTTTACAATCTCAGGTACAGGGTAAGGTACAGCCACGGTGGGCCAAGTGTCACAGGTGACCACGGTCCACACAATGTCTCCTGTTAAACTATGATTTCAAGTTTAGGAAAGCCAGTGTTTCTTCAATGGCACAACCTCAGTCTCAGGGAAGTTTGGCTCTTTCTACAGAATCTGTCTCTTAGCATTAGCATTCTAAAATAAAGGGATTTCCACAGCCATTTCTGAACCACCATCTCCTGTGCTTCCTTCCCACAAGGCATGCTTGGAGCTCCCTTTCTGGTGTATATAGGCAAAGGTGTGTATTGGCAAACCTCTAGAGTAACATGGACTTGAGGGCCTGGGTCTTGCAGGCGTGCTACAGCTCCTGTGAGGCACAGAAGAAAACACAACAAAAAAAACAAAACCAACCAATCCCCCCCCCCCCCAACAAAAAAGCCTACAATAAAAGGCACAGGGAATCCTGAGAAAATGTAGACACTTCAGAATTCACAGGTTGGAACCCATGGACTGAGATCACTGTCAGTTTAAAAGCTACAAAAAACTAAGTGAGAAAGCTAATGGAGAACCCATAGTAATTAAACCTATAAATCTGCCATAATGCAAAACAAAACAAACAAGCAAACAAACAAAAACCAACCAAGTTAGGTATATTTATAAATGATATTTCAGTAATAGTTAAACTTGCTAAGAAAAAAAAAGATAACCTGCACTTATAAAATACACCCAAGACAAATGTAAAACAAGTGTCTGACTTACAACCTAGTAACTCCAATTCTTCTAGAGGAACCTAGGAATTGAGGTATTTACAGGTCTAAATGACACAGTCCAAGCTTTATAAAATTCAGGTCCTTAGTTGTATCTCACAGCATCCACCCTGTATATCTTCTACCAGAATTTACAAGTTGTAAGGCAGGCTGGGGATGGGTCAGTGGGTAAATGCTTGCTGCATAAGCATAAGGACTATTTGGATCCCTAGAACACATGTAAATGCAGGCAGGGATGGTGGCCCAAGTGTAACCCCAGCATTGGGAGGTGTAGACAGGGTCTGCTGAACAAACTAGCTAGCTAGACTAGCCAAACTGTTGAGCTCTTGGTTCAAGGGAGACCCTACCTGAATGTACTATTCTGGACAACAATTGAGGAAGATACCAGACATTAATCTATGACCTACATACAATGTCTGTACAAACAGTATAGCCCAAAAGCATGCAAACATTCATACATATACCACATACATAAAAATATATCACAAGGCAAACTAATTAATTTCTGAGAAGTCCAAAGAGTCAAAAGTTGAATGGAAATATCTCTAATTCATTTAACTTTACCAGGGCCTAAAAGCATAATTTTTTCCATCATAGTTATACTTCTGTAAAACAACACAGCTTTAAATTTTAAAGCTCTTAATTTTAAGAAGACTTCTATGTGTATGGATTTTTGCCTACATGCATGTCTGTGTACCACATTCATGTAGTGCCTGAGGAGGCCAGATGGGGGCTGGCATCAGTTTCCCTGGGACTGGAGTTAGAGGGCTGAGTCATCATGTGGGTGCTGGGACCTGAACCTGGATCCTTTGCAAGAGCAGTCTGTGTTCTTTACAGCTGAGCCACCTCTTCACTCAAAAGCATTCAATTTTTTAAAGCTTTTGTTTAGGATACATTTTTTAACAGTGCTTTAAAACCCACTTTTGCCTAAGCATTCAGAATGTTTCCCGTGTTAAAATAAGATACCATCTAAAACAAAGTTTCATAGACTGCTGAATTAGAAATGAACCACAGTCTAAAATTTTAAGAGAAAATTTAAAAGTTATTTTAGAGAATACAGGTTAAAATTTTAAACTGTCTATGCAAATTCACAGGTAATTAACCATGAAAGAGAACACTGCCAACATGCTGTTAGTAGACTAAAGTGTTTACATTTAGTTATATGGGAACATACATAGTGGTTCAAGGGTACTATTTTTTAAAGACAGAGTTTCTTAGTAAATATATTCTAAGAATATAGTCAACAGGCATTACCTCTAGCTTTACTAGTTGGCTGTCCCCTTCATTTTCTGCTAAAGTGGTCACTGACCCTTCATCACAAAATGGGATATGACATAACTCCAGTTAGTTTATTCACAAACACGCAACCTGTTTGTTCCATGTGCCAGGCTTACTGTTTCAGATGCCGAGGGGAGGAAGTAAAACAGGCTGACGTGGTCCAACTTCTTACACGGCTAATGAGAAGGGCAAGAGAAAAACAATACTCAAAGTAATTTCAAATTAAGATGGACACTGTGAAAAATTAGGACAGGACAGAGGGGACCTACCATGTGTCTTTAAAAAGAACTGGGGAGATTTCTCTGGGTGGTGACATGTGAACAAAACTCAAATGAAAAGACAGGAAACTCTTTGGCATAAGGGACAGTACAGAATAATGACCAATCGAACTGGTAAGGCTTGAACAGAAACAGGTCATACACAGGCATGGGTGCTGAGAAGAGCACACTGTGTGTTAAGTACAAGGGAAGCCATTATGTTTTTTAAGTTGGGGTAAATAAAACCTGATTTGCATTTTATTTTGATGTTGGGGACTGAATATGGGCTCTTACATGTTCTAGCACTGAGCTACAACTCCTAGCCCCTCCTCACAATCTCAGTTGGAAGTGTGTGTCACACACACACAAAATAATATAAAACAATCAACGAGGCATAAAGGGAATATGTACTACAGGGTGCTCAAAGCAGGCCCAGGAATTAAGAAGCGACTGCACACAACTAAGTCAGATGAGAAGACAGACACCTACCTAGCCTCATGTTTTAACAAGGGTGAGCTTTCTCCAGTGTGGAGTGTTAGCCAAAAACTGCATTAATACATTCCATTCTCAAGAATTTACCCATGTCTTCCTGTAACAGTAGGCCTGGGAATGGAGACATATTTATGGTAAGCAAAACCCTCTTGGGGAAATTGGGTATAATTTTCTGTGGTGATATATCATTTGTGATTTATTAAAGCCACTGGAGATCAAAATAGCAAAGCAGCCATACTAGTAGCTCATACATATAGTCTGAGGATCACCACTTTGGTCTAAGCATAGGTAGATTAAGAGCTAGTGACTTGGCTGCTTTGCTTTTCTCATCTTCAGCTTGACGCTTGAACCCCATTATCTGTCTCTGGGTCTGTTATTTATTTTCTCTAGATTAGGATGGCCTGTTGGTTTCCCAAGATCTTTCTTCCCAAACTGGTATCATATCAGCAAAGGCAACTAGTACTTGCCTACTTTTTCAATTACAGTTGTATTTTTAACTAGTAATAAATAATTAAGAGCCAAGATTTACAATGGGGTGTCATATCCAAGGCCACAGATAAGTTATATTATCTCTGTGATGCCTACAGCCCAAGCAAAGGATTCACTAGCCCCATCGTGGCTAACCTCTGCCTCACTACAGCAAATATTTTAACTGGTTCTGCTTTTTCAGGAGTTTTTAAGGTGTGTGAAGCTCTGGGAATTTGCTGCCACAGAAAATAACTTGTTGCTGTTTAGCTCTGAAGCATAAGCTACTTCATAAATACTTGCAGGAGTTGGTTCTCTTTCCACCACATGGACGCCCAGCTAATGCAAGTCACACGGCTTGGGAGCAAGCATCTTT